TATCTAAAGAAGTGAGAACTTTGGCTGCAGGCCCATATCGTTGTACTTTATGTGGTTTCATGTGACATAAGAGCAGCCATTAGAAGAGTTCCTAAGATTATACACAAGCTTTCTCTCAGTCTTAACCTATGTGACCTTGGCCTGAGGCTTGACCCGACTTTCTACACATCATATGACTCAAACTGACAGCTATAAATTACATGCAATACTCTGTATGCGTGTGTATGTATGCCCACAGCATATACTGTAGCATGTATATGCTGTAAAGTGGGTTTTGTCAAATATTCATGCTTGTGTGGTATGTCTGTGTTTGTGGGCGTAGTGTATTTGTCTGTCATGTCTGTGTTTGTGGGCGTAGTGTATTGTAGCGCTGGGGGCAGAGAGACACTTGGCAGGGTCCCCCAGAATGCCCAAGGGGAGAAGCACCTGGTGGAATCCCCCTTGATGCCCCGCTGGGCGGGCTTCAGGGTTGGTGGGATTGCTGTGGCAGGGTTGTGTTGTGTTCAATGTGCTGTGTTATTGTGTGTGTCAATAAAAGACAAGCTCTGGTCTCCCAGCCCTTCTTAACTAGCAAGCGCTACAGCATTTTGATTTGTGTATTTGTGTGTTTGCTCAATTGCATGTATTTTGTCCCATGGCAGTGCGTTCTGTGTGTGTTTGTGAGTAAAAGTGTGTGTTTGCCTTCAGACTGATGGATGAGTCAGGTGGCATGTTGAACACACATACACACACCCTCTGTTTTACACAAACACATACACACCAAATATTGATATGCTGCAGGTTAGCAGACCCTAACCACTGCTGGCTAGTAAAATATACTTGCTGGTCTCAATAATATTTGGGGCAAATCTGCCTCCAACTACATGCAGTATATCATTTGAAAGTAAAATAATTTGTGTTAGATCCCATACCAGTGAGTGATTAGTCAGATCTTGGTCTCTTTATTATTTTTATATGATGTTGAAGCAGCCTATAGTACCATCAAACTGTTTTAACAATTGTCTGCTGCAGTGAAGGAAGAGTAAGAAACAGGTGCATCAGTATCTCTAGTGGGATGCATTGGGAAGCACCAAAAATTATGTGCCCTACTACAGTTTATGCAGCATTTTAAAAAATGCTTTTCTACGTCAGTCTAGACCATCAACTGTATTTAAATAGGGATGATATGTCACCACTTCCCTCTACTATGCAGAATTGAAGCCAAAATGTCATGAATAATACGGTGGCTGCCACTTTGGCATTTTGGAACCAGACTCTGCACAGTAACAACCAGCAGATGAGCATCAAGCTGCCAATTGGTTGGTTCATGTCCCATCCACAAACATGCAGGGGGCAGGATTTATGACCTGTATGTAACCAGCCACCAGGGGGTGATCGACTCATAGTGGCTTTACTTCTAGGTGCTGGCATGTCGTCCATCTTTTAAGTATTCTGTGGTCTAGACTCATTGAGTTGCATTCACTGACACTTTTAAATCTTTGAGAAATGTCTGAATCTTTAATATTTTGTCACAAATGCTCATCGGTGTGTCAAATTTTTCATGTCATTGTAAAGACTCAATGACTATAGTGGACTGCCAGTTTATCTGCAGATTGCACTCACTCTCCTCTTCTGATATTTATACACACACACACACCGTAAACCAAAGATGTAGTGATGCATGTGCAACCTTTTTTTCATGCTGTTTGGAGGGGACAGCCAAGCTGCACCCCTCATGTCTTTATTTTCATTCCATTGCCGTCAGCCTGTACTGTGCTGTGGAGTATGGGCAGCACTTTGCAACAGTCTCTAATATGCTTGGACAGCTGTATTCATGGCCCAGTGGGGTACATTCACTATTGCCCTTAAATCTGCCTAATTATGCATCTCATCAGCTCTTCAGCCATTTGATAACTGTAATCCCAGAACCACACGCACTCTGCCCATATTTCTCATCCTCTTTATCTCCATGCATCTCACCAATGCTTTTATAGATTTTATCTCAGCCCCTTCTTTTTCTCACTACCTTTCTTTCTTACTCTACCTCCACCACACACCCCCCTCCACACATCCCCTCTGCCTGTTGCATCATCCCCCAAGTCTGGAACCTTTGGGGGCACGGAGTGAAGAAGTAAGAAGACAGAGGAATGGATAGGGAGAGAAGATGGAGGAAATAAAAAATGAAGGGTAGTTTTAATAAGGATAATCATTGTGAGTCAATGATAATCAATCAATTCACCACTCTTTATTATAAAATGCATTGAAAAAGACACAAAGCTAGTTTTGAATGAAACAACACATACAGTAACTAGTGAGATGCAGGGATGGGAAGAAAAACAGTCCATCCTGAAATATAATTTTTTAATCTTAATTCTTAATCTGAGTCTTAATCTGAGTGAGACAAATGATTTGTCTCAGTGTCTTTGCTCAGGGTTTTTGAGAAGTCACTCAAAACAAATGATCTCACTTCAATGTCAGAGTTGTTTACAACATAATATTAGGTCATATTGTTATGGCAGTGTGAAAGGATTCAGTAGGAGGATGGAGACAAAGAAGAAGGCAGGAATGGATTAATGAAAGCAGAAACGTTAGCTGCACCCATGAAGATGTGATGAAGCAAATGGCATTTAACCCTGCAACAGTGTTAGGCCTCTGCAGTGTGTGTGAGTGAATGAGTGTGTGTGTGTGTGTGTGTGGTGATTCATGGTGTCTAATGAAGCAGAGCTGATGTGATATGAATCAGCAGCCATGGTCGATGTGCTTAATGCCTTCACTAAACAGGTTGAAGCTTGTGTGTGTGTGATGTGCTTTACAGCGGGTGTGAATACAGTATATGCATTGTCTGCCTTCATCTGATCCTCCAGCCCCCTCTGGCACTTGGTATGCTTAACATTTTCCAAGTTCACTTCTATTCTTCCAGGCTGACAATTTCTTTTTGGTCATAACTGTTTATTGTTGTGCCATCCTTTCCTTCCTGTTGCTTTAAGAGAACATATTTTCATTATCATTTCACATCTTTTCTGACTTCTTCCTGGGGCTTTAAGGTTATGATCCTCAAAATGTCAGTCTTGGTTGATTTTGCGACATCTGTGACCATTGGTGGTAACAGCAAGTGTGGTTTAATGCCACAGCAAACAATACTTGAGCAGCTATTTTTGAGAAATACAACGTGTACATCTGTTTACCGCTGACAAACATGTTGTTTTAATGAAGTCACTTAATGCAACTCTTACATGTATGTCTGTAACAGAGTGAACAGTAAACAGTGATATTAGTGAGATACAATTACAAACAAGGAAATAATTACAATTGGAACCCCAGGCAGGAATGGCGGACCCACCGCTAAAAATAAAATCTACTATAAAGGTCTGGGTCGACTGACTTGGACATTTGTGTTGTCACGTACAGCTCCCCCTGGGTAATGTCTGGAGAATTTCAGGGTTCCACTGCACATCTGAAAAGGGCTTGAGGCAGGCAGCAGAGAGATACGTGGTGGAAGAGAGAAGCGAGTTGATTACTGAGGAGACAGGCTGTTGTCAGAGCAGCAAGACAATGGAAGATAGATGAGGACAAGGTCAGCAGCTCCCTACTAATGTCACAACAGATGACTAACTGTGGTTATTTGTGTAAAGGTGTGTGTGCACGCATATGTTTTTGTGTGAAGACAGTTTTTTGTCCAAGGCTGACTAACTCTGAGTGTGGAGTATGGACTGCGTGTGTGTGTGTGTGTGAGAAAGAGAGAGAGAGTACTAAGTACAGAATCAACAACTTCTGCAATATAAGATTGACTGGCAGTTTTTTTTGTATCTGTATGTTTGTGTGTATGTTTCAGTTCTTCTGTTTGCTGCGTGTTTGCACTGATTTGACCTAACAGTGCTAGATCAGTCTGCCCACCCCTCAACACACACACTTTTTTGGTCCATTTTCAATCACAAGATACTTTGGTCCAGCTGAAAAGCCACTTTGCCTCCCCGTCATGGAAAAATATTGCTGTTGTTATCGCTGCTGTCTGCTGCTTGTTCTCAGCTCAGCTTATTTTTACTGCCAAACACTGCAGCAAAGAGCAGCTGGATGAACACACACACACACACACACTGGGGGAGAGATTTTGATACTTTTTTCTGCTGTGAAAACTTATCACCATTGAATTGCTCTGCTGCTGCGATCCATGACTCCATTCAGCTTCAATGTGCCCTTCCTGGAATTATATAACACCACATATTTGCCCGCATGTATGTTAAATCAACCCCAAGACATTTTAACATAGGTTATCTGTTATCACAATTTATTTCAAGTGTTTTTTGTTTTATTTAAGGGGCAGAAGGCCTTGGATGGGATGGTTTATAGCCTGAGATGCTCTGGAAGAATTCTTTCTCTAACTTGAAAACAATCCTAATGTTCTGCCATCCACCTTACAAATACAGTAAAGTGTGCCTACTCTCTGCTCTGTGGTCCAACAACATAAAACACAGTTCAGGTTAAAAGCAGGAGGTGACTGACACTTTTCATCAGGGTTCCCGAGGAGCTCAGGCCAGCTACATCTACTGTACTTCAGCTTTATTATAGATGTTATTATTTTAACTTTATTACCGATGCTGACCACAAGTGTAAGATCATTTACAGTGCTTCTTCTTTTATGTACTTGCTTTTTTATCTAATGACTTTTTGTTATGGGTTTTATTGCCTTTTCATTTCATTTGATCTGTTTTTAGGGTACCATAAAAGACTTTGCAACCAAGTTCTATTGAGATCTTTTAAATGGAACATTCAGTTAAAGATATAGTGTTTTGCTGACAGACAAGCTAAGCCAGGGATATTTTTCATCACTCTTCAAGTTTTACCACTTTCAACATGCTTAAGTTAAATGCACTTTGGTTTGATTTAAAAGCAGCTGTTTTTTTATATTGAATACAGTTCAAACCAAAGGAAATGGTTCATGTGTGAGTTTATTAAAAAGTGCGACTGAAAGGTTGAATAATCTCTCTCGTTCTGTCTCTACTTTTTCCTCCGTCTAACTTCAGGATTTGGACGTCAGCCTACCTCGAGCCGACCCAGTATAGACCCCAGCGGAGACCAGTAAAGGCCTGGCTGCATCAGCAGAGATATCTCCAGCAGCCATGTCTGTGCCGCCATCCTCTCTCACCTCCCTCCACCCCTCCGGCCTCCCCTCCTCCCTCAAATGCTTCCTCCTCGCTTCCTTTCTGCTCCTGTCATGTCCTGGATCGGTCCATGCAGGTTCACCTGAGACAAACTGCTCAGCTGTTGGAGACCCCTGTCAGGAAGGTGGGTTGGTCTTACAGATGCACACTGAATTTGAATCCATAGCCGGAGGAATTATTATGACAGGATAGCATCCTATCTACTATATAGTAATCTATTTTAGAGTTGCTCCACAGCTAAACTCCATAGAGTTTTTGTATTGTTCTCCTATCGCCCCAGTATATTAGTCTAAGGATGCCATAACTTCTAAACTACAATATAGTATATAGTCTCTTGGCGCCTACTGCAGTATACTGTGCATCTAATTCTGAGCAACCTGTCCAGAGGCTCTGCAGGTAAAAAGAAAAAGATTTATTTGCCATTTAGGTGAGAATGAGCTAGTTAAACTTGAACAGTGTCAGCAGAATTTTCATAAAATACCTACAGCAGGAACGCCGCACCATTAAAAGGTGACAGTGTTTCATTTCCTCCTGAGCCAAAACAGCACTGCTGCTGAGTTATCAAGTGATGGTGCCAATTTACTGCCCTGAAACTAGTACGCATTGATTCATTTTAAGAAGTTTTACTTGAACAAATGGGAACATAAGGAAAATCTTCCACTTATTGTGATCCTTAATTAGGTTGTACTGTCACTGGACTTTTACAAGATGCCCACAGTGGACAGACTATACATGATTAGAGAGGGAGAGATTAGTGAGGTTATTAGTAAAATTGTTGCTATCAGATATTGCTTGTGAACTTTTTCTGCAAAAATCTCTCTGATTTTCAATTTCAGGGGTGGTACTGCCTGTGTGGAATCCTCAGAACCCCTCTGTAGGGGACAAAGTGGCACGGGCCATTGTTTACTTCGTAGCACTCATCTATATGTTCCTGGGCATGAGCATTATAGCGGACCGGTTTATGTCGTCTATAGAGGTAGGCAACACATGAATAACCATGCACCTATTTTGCTATTGAGCTGCTCTCCACACAATATTACGTTATAGTAGATTCATTTGGTTATAGTATATGTTTTATAGGTTTCCTTTTCTTGCCTTGCCTTTTGCTTTTCCCTCCTTTCTTTTTGATGCCTACTTTCCTTT